ACATAATGGTGAGTAAATTACTGAATTTTTATGTTGGTGAACTATTCCTTTAATACAAGATCCATGTCAAAAAATGCACTAATCTTGAATGCTATTATATAAGCATTCAAGCATCATCGTGTTAATTATGGTTTATTTTCTGACTGAGGGAAGACTTACCTTACAGGAAGAGTGGCTATGTCCAGATATAGGTTTCTGCAGGAGATAAAGTTCATATGACATTTTGTCAACCAAATTAGTTAGCTGATACTGCAATCACCATTATGTATTCATAAACTATTATCCATCTCAAGGCTTCACAGAAATGTTCAATTGTGTCAAACATTTGACCCTTCGCTAAGCCCTGCCTTTAAATGGTACTGACCGATGATACTTTAGCATCTGTCCACCATCTATTTTTGCCTTTTCTTTAACGCAAGTTGGAAGAAATCCTGGGCGTTTTTAAAGTTTTAAGCAGAATTTTAATCAAAAATATGATAAAAGTTGTTGCTGGGGCACTTACAATATTGACACAAGAAGCATAGAAAGAATATTTGGAGTGAGGGCAGAGCTTAGCGAAGGGTTATTTCTGATATCATCAGCATGGCTGCACACCTTTGCTGTCCTGGGACTGTCTGTGTGCCGTTGCGCTCGTAGGGATCGTGGAGTTTTGCCGGGCTTTACAGGCGCACAGTACATCTCCAGTCGCCTCAGCTCACAACTCTGAAAGCAGCATTCATCCACTATGCCGCGATTGTGCGACCGTCTCGAACTAGGCCCATATCCTGTCGGTTTGCCTGTTGGATGCATAGAAATAACATTCATAAATAACCTTTTGGAGGGCAAGATACGCATATGAAAAGTGAAAGCGCTCCTAAATCTCTGCTGTGGGGGAAGGCCAGCACTTAATAGCATGCTCAAATTTTGTCCGTAGGTACGTTAAATAAAGCCTGTCATCACATTGAGCTCAAGCCCTTTATCCATTTTATTCTTGGCATGACACCAGCTCATGAAGAACAATTACAGCCTACAAGGTCATGCTCTGAAACGTTAAATCTCTAAAACATTTGGTAGTAACCTGTGGCTAAAAGCCCGGTCATGAGCGCTATAATAGCTTAGCGTAGCAGCCAGACCGTATCTGTGATTCTTCAGATATATGGGCACATTAATGATATGAATTTCTTCAGCGTGAAATTTACAGGGTATTGCTTTGCACAGAGCGGACCCTTCTTGGCAAGCCCCCCAGTTAAATGGAGGTCACACTGACCGAAATGTTGAGAATATCACGTTTTGCAGTTTCAAACCTGATATCTTTAAACTTGACTGCTGGTTTTGGAGGCACAATCCGGCCCTTGTCAGGGTCAAATTAACCTATGGAGAGAAACCATCTGCTCTGTTGAGAAGAATGATGTTCCTAGAAGACCAGGATGAACCGTGAACTTTTCCCAGAGTGCTTGTTAATGCCGCTGCTAAACTAGGTGATAATTACCCATGTGAAAGAACATGAAACTGCCTCATGTGTATATATTTTGTGTGCTGTCAATGAGGTCAATGCACTATTATGTCCTAGACATAATGTTTAACGATGAGGTTGGACTACTTAAACATGTAGAATTCAGGATTTGGGTTGTCTGATCCCAAACGGATTTATGTTGAAGGTAGCACTTAGACACCT